TTACGTTATTTTGTAAGAGCTAAAATTGAACAAATCATTAGTTGAATTAATGTAACTTTGTGAATATTAAAAAATATAATTTTAATACAGAACATGGGAATTGAATGAAATCGAACCGAACCAAATTGAATTGAATAGACCTGAACTCGAATATTGCCATAATTAAATTTGGACTCGAAGATTCGACTTACTAAATACCCGTTGGGTCCGGTTCGGTTCTAATGCCGAACCATGTCTAACCCTACTCATTCAGATTTTTAACTTAAGAAAAATCGCTCGGTTCAGTTCAAGTCTGATTCGATTTGAAAATTTTGCCCAACCCTATACATAATATACAATTCCAACAAAATAGCTTGTGGGTGATTTATATAATATACATTAATTAAGTGATAAATAAACCTTGTAAATTGAAAGATAATGTTGTTCATAATCCACCTATCCTTGATTATGCACATCGCTGAAAATATAGGTACTGTATCTTGAACATTTTATCAAATAAAATAAAATATTTAATTATCATACATATATATAATTTCGTACCTAATTCTTAAATTATTATTATTATTATTATTATTATCGTCATCGTCGTCGTCGTCGTCGTCGTCATCATCTTCTTCTTTGCCCTTTTCTTTTTATTAATAAAGAGTATTAACAAAACAAAAAAAAAAAAATCCTTTTATTAATAAAGAGTAAAAAAAAAAAAAACCCTATCTTGAGTAAACCATTATTACATAAATTCATAAGTAATTATTTGTCATCTTAAATTTTTAAAGAAACCTTGGTTGCAATCTAAATTTAAAAATCAAAATAAAAATTTCGGGTCGTTACATAGAAGTCATCAATATATTTGAGAATAAGCCAATAACATTTCCAGTTAAGCGAATTTGTTAAACATCAATCTCATTAATCTTATGAAGCTTCTCTATGTAGAAGAATTTTGAGGAAAAAATGATTTATCATGATCTCTTTGATATAACATTCTTTGATTTGTGCAATACAAGCTGTTTTATTTTTATTAAATGTTGTTTGTCTATCATTTTCTGAAGCTAATCTAAGTGATGCTGGGATATGATATGTTAAGTTCCTCAACCATACACATTCTCGATTTGTTCACTAGATTACAATAATTTCAAAATGATTAGAAAATGTTACATCAATGATTATTTCATAGATCTCCATATATACTTGTTCGTCTAGGTGTAAACATACATCTTGTTTGAAATTTAGCTTTATGTAGATTAAAGATTTAGTGCAACCTAAACAAAAATTTCACATGTTAATTATTTTTATTTATTTTTATTGAAAAGGATATGTTAGGTATGTGAAGTTACATAAGATTTGGCATAATTAAATAATAGACGTGTAAAATATTTTAGGGTAATTATATTCACATTATATATTTTTTATTTTTTACATTACATTTTAATTCTACTTAAGATTTTTAATCGTTGGTAATTATAGCATTTATATTCATAAAATTTTTTCACGTCATTCTTATTCTCAAACTTTTCATTAGTTATCACATTTTGTATTTGTAATAGTTCTATATCCAAAAGTTTGTTGAAACAGCATAAAATAACATATTTTTCATAATATTTAAAATAAATAAATACAAAGTACCAAAAAATATTTTTCCCTCATTTCAAAGCATAAAAATAAATTATTTTTATATAAATTATCATCAAGGATGAGGCGTACTTATTAATGGAAGGTCGAAGATAAGAATTCGACGGAAAAATTAAGACAATAATTGTTTCAATGAACAAAGATTGAGGAGTTTAAGTGTAATAAAATGTGGTACGTCAAATAAAAATTATGGTGTAAATATAACCACCCATATTTTTATTGTTATGATTACTTGTTTAGTCTAACACATCAAATAAACAACACTCTTACTTCTTCTTTTTGTTTCTTACAAAAAATCAACTGAAATTGAGCTAAATTTCGAATAACTTCACAATGTTAAAAAAAAATCAAGTCGAACCAAAATTTAAATCGAGAGATTATGATAACTATAAGTCAACTAAGTAGAAATAACACTAGCCAGGCTAGTTATAGTAGAAACACGCTCATGTTAAGGACAAAGTAAAAATCACTTTTTCTTTTCAATAATATTTTCTTATACTTTTCCTATATTTTATCTTCTCACTAGTGACAAAATGATCATTAGAGCACATTTTGGCTCGTCATGTTGTCACTTTTTTAAAAGTTTAAATAGTTTAGACCTACTTTTCAGGGAAAAAAGTGCTTTAGTGACAAAAGTAACTTCAAAATCATTTTTAATAAATAAGTAATTTTAACAATAAAAATTATTTATTTTTTTAACATAATCAAACATGCTCGTAATTTCTCTTTTCGTGGTTAGGTTGGATAATGAGTATGACTCGAAAATCATGAATCATGCACAAACTATTACTTACTCCACACACACACACACACACACACACACATATTGGGCTATAGATTTAAGATCTGTTTTTCATGTTTTCAAAATGCAGTGTCGGTGTGGCAATGATATAGATTAGTTTTGTTTATTTATTTCTGGAAAATTAGAAGGGTAAATCAAATTATGTTAGTTAAATTTTGTTATGGTTCTAACTTTGGTTGACCTTACCATTTTCTTAGACGTGCTAGCCTATCGATGCATGCCCATTTGGCTCGGGTTGGACTTTTTACGTGTTAGGTCGTCTTGCTCGAATGTGTTTTTAGGGCCCTCAACTCTCAGCCCAAGTGTTAAAATTCTTTTTACGACATTCGATAGCTCAAATGAAGAATTGTCGGCATATTCTGTTGGACATTTTTCTTGATAGATGATTAGGATCGGTTGCTTAACCTTTCTTGTAGTGTGACATTGGGTCCTTACTTTAAAAAGTGATGTTATATGTCTCCTACCCATTTAAATCTATGAATCTAAGTCCGTAGGCGGTGGTGGAAACAATTAATACGAAAGACTTTCAATTGAATTGGAGAGAAATGTTTAGCGGTTTTGTGATTTTGCCTCTATAGTCAATGAAAATTACTTGTCATTTTAATGTCTACGTCGACATTTTCACTTAAGTAAGATTTATAAATTTAAATAAATTAATGACGTTAAATCTCAAATCTCAAGGTTAAGGATTCATAACTACGGTTACACAGCGAAACCTCAATTTCCCATATATTTATTTATTATTTAAATATTGCTTTAGACTGTAAAACAATGAATGGGAAAATAGCAGTATTCATCCCTACCTATTTGATTGAGTAGAAACTTACTTCACAATATTTTAAAAAGAAAGAAGACGGTCTCTAAATTTTCATTATAGTTGCATCGTCCTCACATTATCATCCCACATGGACCCAACACGTCTCTAGAAATGGTGGCCTAATCCATTCATTTTTGTAATTTTTTTTAGAAAAATAATCATAAACTTCAAATCGTAATTTTGAATAACATAAATAGCTTTAAGTAGGTAGCAATATCTAATAGGGCGAAAATATATGCCTCCAATGTGTCTTCTGTAAAAGAATGGGGACGTCCATCGTGCATCTATACTGCCTCTATGCAGGCCATGCCACGGGCTCAAATACATGTGTGGGCTTATTTTTAAGATGCTCAACACATTTTAACATATTTTCTCAACTTTAATTAATGTCTGTGAATTGAAACGAGACATGTTTTTGTTAGACATTCGTGATAATTTGAGAAGAAAAGAAGTTCGATTGCTTTGGATTGGTTGCATAATTATAATGAAAAGATAAGATCAAATTGCTTACTTTTAATATTCAATCTGCCTCATTCACAATAGTTTAGGGACAGATGGGTGCAATTGTCCCTATATAAATGGAATTAAAGGAGTCTGAATAGGCTCAATAAAAGGGTTTATTTACGGGGAATGAGTTAATAGCTTCTGATTGGCAATTATTTGCTCTACTTTAATTTAAGCGTAAACGAAATTTCGTCAAATTCATCAATGAGCCCATTCCTGCAATATGTTTGAATCGCTCGTTAGAAGAAAGGAAAAAGAAAAGAATAAAGCCCTGCTCCCTGTCCCAGCTTGGGGACAAGGTCATGGACAGGGGAGCCATGTGGCGCCCCCTCCCTTCAACCCTTTGAATGAAATGCGGCAAAAGAAAAGGAAGGAAAATCCACGGATCGATCCCATTATCTCCACCCTGTAGGAACTACGAGATCACTCCAAGGGTGCCTTTGGCATTCAGGGGTCACGGACCGACCATAGAACCTTGTTCAATAAGTGGAACGCATTAGCTGTCTGTTCTCAAGTTGGACAGTAAGAGTCAGAGAAATGCAATCACTCATTCTTAAAATCAGCGTTTTTAAGACCAAAGAGTCGGGCGAAAATGGGAGAAAGCTCTCCATTCCTGATTGTCCTGTAGTTGGAACATTTGGAAACACAAGAATCCATAGTTAGAATGAAATTTCAAATCAGCACATTTTGATTGAGATTTTGAGAAGAGTTGCTCTTTGGAGAGAGGGACAGGGGCACCACATGACACACCTTATTGGAGGGGTGCCATGTATCGAAGGGCGCCGGCCCAATAGGAGAGCGCCATGTAACGTCCCTATCTTTAATCCTGTCCCAACCTTTATTCCAAGAATAAAACCTCTTGTATGAGCCGTACACTCTTAGGGGAGGGCCCACACCCCATTAACGATCAGGTCCCGTTCGGGGTTATACACCGAGTACGTGTAGCTGGGCTGGAAAGAAAAAACTTATCCGCTGTGCCGATGTCTCTTCCGTATCAAACGCGTAGTATTCTGCCAAAACGGTCAGATCCTCACTGTCCAATGCCCTGCCGACCTTTAATATTCATAAACTATTATGTTTAATTGTTCGATGACGCAGCATGTGATGTCAGCGATGCTTTCATCACCGTAGCTCATCACTTGCGTAAGATACATGAAGTCGCGTGATTTGAAACTGTGGGTTGTTGGTAATTTCTTCTTTATTTTTAGCCGTTGTCGTTTACCTTCCTGTTCAATTAAATGTTTTTATCGTGTCCTGTTTATATATAGAGAGAAGTATTGCAGTTTAAGTTGATATTCTGTATGAAACAGACTTGGTTGAAGATTCGAACCAATTGAAAAAGAAGGCGCCCAGGTCCCATTTTCCCTCCCTTTCCGTCTCTGATTCTTTTTAATTTGCTGTTTTGCTTGCTTTGTAATTATTAACTCTTCGAATTAACGAATGCTTGAATTGTAATTGAAGTTTTGGTATCTAGTTATAGTTAACAACCTAATGGAATTAAGCTAGACATAGCAACCAAAGGAGAGGTGAAACAAATTCATGAAGCCAATCCTTAGTTTACAGTGTTTTTGTTGTCGCTATTAGAAAGGTGTGCACTTTATGGGATGACGACTTGAATAGTGAGTCATTTCTATGTTAATTGCATGGGAAAGTTGAGCCTTTTTCCTTTACCTTTCTTTCCTTCCAGCACTCAAAAGCGCTTTTCGCTTTTTCTTGGTTTCTTCTTAAGATATAATTACTTATCGATACAGAAATGACCAACTTGAGTTTAACCTACCGTACAAGTTCCATCTTAAAACATCAACGTCTTAAGAAGAATAGCAGTTGGTTAATATTTTTGTACTTTACTAACCGATGTAGGATTTGCCCTTAACAATTTCTGCTAGAAATTTACTCTAAATGATAAAGGGCATGATACGAGTTATTAATTTTTATTAATCAGTAGATTTGTTGTTTGATTACAGAAAACTGTTCTGTTTGATCCTTTTTCTATATGATTTACGAGTACACCATAAATCTTAAGACAATTTGTTTAATGGGCTAGTTAGCTCATTTAGCTAAGTTCACCTATTGGATTCACCTTATCTACTACAGTTGCTGGGAACAAGTGAACAACATCTACACATTATATTACTGGCACCCTTGCTGACATTGTATAGCTCTATAAAATATTAAGCGATATTATACATTGTATTGGATTTGATTGTTCTGCTGGTTTACTTATTGATGGTCGAGTGGAAATTCGAAGTTTGGGAGGCTAGGAGAATGATAGAAGGATGGTTCTGGTTGGACGGTGGTACGGTTTTTTAAATTGAGACAGGTCGGCTGGATAATCTCACTGCCTTAAGCTCAAAAGATTGCAGATCAAAGTACCGTGAAAGTTTTATTCTTGCTAGCCCAGTTCTTCAGAATTAGTGCTTGGCTGCTTTAAATATTTTGTATCAAATTTCGTGTTGGAGATACGATTAACTCGTAAATTTTTCTCTGTCCATTGCATAAATTTGTAAGTTACTGTCATGATATTGTCAATGTCAGCTTCATGATTATTTTTAAAATGAAAGCCGACCTATGGGCATTGTTGTGAGGTAATCCTCAACTTTACAAGTTTGTAGCAACTTGGTCCCTGGTAGTAGTAGTAGATGGCGTTCGTCCATTTGAATGTAAGACAACATTTTTTTTTGCAGGAGGGACGATTTTATCTTTATTTTCAACTGAAAGAGAAATAGAAATGGAAAATCAAAAAAGGAAAAGGAAGGGGGATTATAAAACAAAATCTCCCTAACCCCAATTCTGCATACCCACACCTATATCTCTTGCAGGGGGCATGGTGGGACAGCCGGACACGGCTGGTGGTTTGGATGCAGTTATTTCTTTTCCCTTTTTGATTCCTATCATTTCCCTATTTGTTTCTTGTTTCAACAAAATTATTTCTGATTACCCATTTTACATGAAAACAGCACTTTTGCAAGTGGCATTTTAATGCTGAAAGTACATTTAATGCTGAAAATTTATGGCTTCCTACTTTCCTTTCACTGGGGACCAAACGAAAGGATGACTATTATATTATATATGACAAGAAATAAGGGCAGGGAACCTGTTTTCACAGATTCAATGCGTTGCGGACCACCACTGTGATTTTCCCTTGGAATCAAAATTTTATGTTGTTAGTGTTTGGAAGGGTGTGCAGGTGTAAGTGTACACTTTCTACGTTATAGAGATCTCTGTGTTAACCTTTTACCTTTACCCCTAGCATTTTTTTGTTATCGATTTGAAGAAGTGCAAAATTTGTAAGCAATTTTACTGGAGATGTTTACTTTTACTGTATTCTTATTACGCTGTTTGGAAAATGATTAATTTGTTTACAATGTCTAGAAATATTTTAAAGAATTTTACTGTATACCCTTACTTTTAATATATTTATATTCCAGTCTTTTGGTAAATAAATGACATGTTTACAATGTTTAGGCAGCCAGGAATGTGGAAAATCATTGGTGCATCGTGCAGCTTATTATACCTTCGTTGAAGTTGCCAAAGCCTTACAGCAACGTTGCATCTTAACTGGTCTGTTCCCTTTTTCCAGTAATTCAGAGACTGGAATCCATGGAAGCGAAGGTTATCTCCAGTGGAATCCGACACTCAAGCCTCCCTAGAAGTTACATCCGTCCTCAATCTGAAAGGCCGAGGTTATCTGAAGTTGCCGACTGTGAGAATGTTCCTGTGATTGACTTGGGTTGTGGAGACAGGAGCCTAATAATCAAACAAATAGGCGATGCATGTTGCGAATACGGCTTTTTTCAGGTTATTTGACCATGTTCGACCATCTTCTTTAGCTACCATCATGTGTGTTGATGCTTAGAGCAACATATATGTGCTTGGCTAGGCTAAAAGGAGTTACTTTTGAGTAACTTTTTATCGCCAAAACATATTTGGATGACATACTTATTTCTTATGCTAGAAAGGCATTTCTGAATTAACTCTTAACTTGCTGTCAAAATATGTAGCAATATTTATTTCCAATTTTGACCAATAAAATATTTTTTTAAGACTTACATATTTACTTTTTACTGTTTAAGCTTATCTGAAAGTCTCTACAGTTTTTTCGTAATTTGCTGTTGTACATTTGTTTTCAGGTGATCAATCATGGAGTATCTAAGGAAACAATCCAGAAAATGCTAGCAGTGGGTCATGAATTTTTTAGTTTACCGGTGGAAGAGAAAATGAAGTTGTACTCTGATGACCCGTCCAAGACAGTGAGATTGTCTACAAGTTTTAATGTGAAGAAGGAGACTGTTCATAATTGGAGAGATTATCTCAGGCTTCACTGCTATCCATTAGAGAAATATGTACCCGAGTGGCCTACCACTCCCTCTTCTTTTAAGTAAGCAACAAGGCAACTATTTCCTTTCCAAAATTACTTGTATCTCGATATCAATAGTCCACGAGATTATAACTAGGAATCTTCTTAAATGGAATAAATATGTAGCCTCGAGTTTAAACAATATAAAAGGTACCCATTAAATTTGCAACAACATACTAAGCCTCGTTTCCCAGAAATTTGGGAACTGCTACTTGAATCCTTTTCCACCGCTTTGTTGTTCGTTGCCTGGAGATTCAAAGCTATCAAATCCTTAGAGAGTACGACTAATCATGTTAGTTTTGGTTTTCCTTTCCCTCTCCTAACATGGTCAGCCTAGATCGTGTACTATTATGACTAAGCTCCTAGGAGTCTATAAGAAAATAAAACTTTTAACAAAAAGGTACCCAAATCATATTCATGCCTTCTGCGTGTTCCCTATATAAATTTTAAAGGCTATTCGTTTTAATAACGCTTTATTTGATAAACAAGTTAGCTTTTTTCCTTTTAGCGTGATGCATCGACAAGCAATCCAAGGATGTAGATCTACAAAAGCTGTTCCTATAATTCTTTGATCCGTTCCTCGATCACCAACTGTATCATCTTTAGGAAGCCATCTTTGTTGCATGCAAAAGAATATAATGACATATTTCTTGTAATTTGTAGGGATATTGCCAGCAATTATTGTATGGAAGTTCGACATCTCGGGTTCAGATTGCAGGAGTTAATAGCAGAGAGCCTTGGATTAGAAAAAGAGAGCCTCAAGAATGTGTTGGGAGAACAAGGGCAACACATGGCCGTCAACTACTATCCACCATGCCCAGAACCCGAACTAACTTATGGATTGCCAGCACATACGGATCCCAATGCCCTAACCATTCTCCTTCAAGACTTGCTAGTTGCGGGTCTTCAAGTTCTGATGGATGGCAAATGGTTAGCAATAAAACCCCACCCGGATGCTTTTGTCATCAATATTGGTGATCAGTTGCAGGTAAGGTTTATCTTTGGTGCTAGGAAAATAAATTACTGATATAGTAACTTGTGCATTGTTCTAATACTACAAACAATAAATTAAGCCTTAATTCTCAAAAATTTCGGGATCGGCTGTATGAATTATTTTCTGTCATTCGTTGGTTCATTGCTAAATTTTGTGGAAGATGCTATTCTGGGTCATTGCAATGAAATGTTTATTAGGAATCATGTCATTAGATTTGACAATGTTTTACAGCGACTTCAACATACTGGAACCGTCTCCCCCTTTATCCCCCTTTCTCCCGGGGGCTTGGGACCAGTGATGAAAAACCTTTGCATAGTTTCATTGTGGTAATGTAAGAAATAGAATATAGCTGGAATACGAATGCATTTGGTCATGAAGAGAGTGCATGAAACCAGCAATTTGTGTCATAACTAAAGCACTTGATACATTCTGTTAACCTATTGAACGACAAAAAATCGGTTCTTTTATAATATTTCTTTGTCAGTCTCCTTTAGAAGATGGATTATTCTCATAGAATGTGTGGTGTCGATGAGAAACAATACTTTACCATGTGCATGGAAGCTAAAAACGTGCAAGGATATCTAATATCCCATCCGATCGTTTGAATATGAGGCTACTGGAAAACCATATAATATGGTCTTTAATGCTTATAATATGGATTTGGATGATAACTAAGAATGATTTTCTCCAGGCGCTGAGTAATGGAAAATATAGAAGTGTTTGGCATCGAGCTATAGTAAATTCAGATAAAGCAAGATTGTCAGTAGCTTCCTTCCTCTGCCCGTGTGATAGTGCAATGATCGTTGCACCAAAGGATCTTATAAACGATGGATCTCCATCCATTTATCGGGATTTCACATACGCGGAGTATTACAAGAAGTTCTGGAGTCGGAACCTTGACCAGGAACACTGTTTGGAACTTTTCAAGAACTAAAATTGCTATTTGGCCTCTAGATTGCTGCTTTATTTTCGTGCTCGCCTCACTGCATCACACGGATTGTGACAAGAAGTGAATTTTATTAGCTGATGTCCTCCTTTTGTTTCTCTGATTGCTCTAATTATGTTTGTCACCAGATGATATTTTACTTCTGGTATAGGAATTTTGGAGTTTATTTTTTCATCATAAACCAAAAAACGCGTGGTTTTTATGCTCTTTGTTGAACCTTATTATTTGGCCAAGAATGCATTTTAGATTGATATATTGATGTAGAATGTGTGAGTAGAAAATAAAAAAATGTTTTGCGTTTACGTGTAATATTATTTTATTAAATGTGTGTTTGAAAAGAAAAGAGGGAAAATGTATTTTAAAAATAATAAGGATCAATCAAAGGCTATAATATCTCATCATTCTAGATTATTTAACTACATGATAGATAAATGTTGCAAGTGGTGATGTAACGTTAAATATTATAAGTTGGGGTGACTGACGGTTGAAATTGTATGAAATAGGTGGTAAAATGTCAATAACTGTTATAAGTGATAGTAACAACAACGACGACAAAAATAAGGGTGGTGGAACGTTACACAATTTTACGAAGTATAACACATTGTGTTATAAAATTTATTGTAAAATAATCAAAATAAGAAAAATAATTACATAACTACAAAGGTTTGAAGTTATATTTTCAAAATTAACAAACTCAGGGATTTTTATTTTTATTTTTATTTTTTTCAAAAATCGGGTGGTCACAATTTGTGAACCTTGATAAAAGTTTGGTCATATTTTATGGGTTTATTTACGGGGAATGAGTTAGTAGCTTTTGATTGGCAATTATCTGCCATCAATGAGCCTGCTCCTGTAACATGTTTGAATTGCTCGTTAGAAAAAGATAAAAAAAAATAAAAAATAAAAGGTCATATACTCTTGTCACGTGAGGAGAGGGGTCCACACCGAATTAATGATCGGATCTGGGCTGGAAAGAAAAAGCTGGGCTTGTACACCGACTGCGTGTAGCTGGGTTGGAAAGAAAAAGCTCATCGGCTGTGCCGATGCTCTTCCGTATCAAAAACGTAGTATTCTGCCAAAACAGTCAGATCCTCACTGTCCAATGCCCTGCCGACCTATAATATTCATAAATGTTAATGTTTAATTGTTCGATGACGCAGCATGTGATGTCAGTGATGATTTCATCACCGCAACTCGCTTGCGTAAGAGACATGAAGTCATGTGATTTGAAACTATGGGCTTACGCTTATTACTTGAATTCGTAAACGCAAAATCAATGGTGTTTCATGGGTTGTTGGTAATTTCTTCTTTATTTTTAGCCGTTTTCATTTACTTTCCTGTTCAATTAAACTGGAAACCCTCTTGTGTTCTTATCGTGTCCTGTGTATGTACAGAGAAAAGTATTGCAGTTTAAGTTGATATTCTGTATGAAACAGACTTGGTTGAAGATTCGAACCAATTGAAAAAGAAGGCGCCCAGGTTCCATTTTCCCTCCCTTTCCGTCTCTGATTCTTTTTAATTTGCTGTTTTGTTTGCTTTATAATTATTAACTCTTCGAATTAACGAATGCTTGAATTGTAATTGAAGTTTTGGTATCTAGTTATAGTTAATAACCTAAAGGAATTAATCTAGACATAGCAACCAAAGGAGAGGTGAAACAAATCATGAAGCCAATCCTTAGTTTACTGTGTTTTTGTTGTCGCTATTAGAAAGGTGGGCACTTTATGGGATGACGACTTGAATAGTGAGTCATTTCTATGTTAATTGCATGGGAAACTTGAGCCTTTTTCCTTTACCTTTCTTTCCTTCCAGCACTCAAAACGCTTTTCGCTTTTTCTTGGTTTCTTCTTAAGATATAATTACTTATCGATACAGAAATGACCAACTTGAGTTGAACCTACCGTACAAGTTCCATCTTAAAACATCAATGTCTTAAGAGTAGTAGCAGTTGGTTAATATTTTCGTACTTAACTAACCGATGTGGGATTTGCCCTTAACAATTTCTGCTAGAAATTCTTGAAAGTTATATAAGCCTCGTAATTCCTGGCTTCACACTCTAAATGATAAAGGGTATGATACGAATTATTAATTTTTATGAATCAGTAGATTGGTTGTTTGATTACAGAAAGTTGTTCTGTTTGATCCTTTTTTCTATATGATTTACGAGCACACCATAAATCTTAAGACAATTTGTTTAATGGGCTAGTTAGCTCATTTAGCTAACTTCAACTATTGGGTTCACCTTATATACTACAGTGGCTGGGAACAACATCTACACATTATATTACTGGCACCCCTGCTGACATTGTATAGCTCTATAAAATATTGAGCGATATTATAAATTGTATTGGATTTGATTGTTCTGCTGGTTTACTTATTGATGGTCGAGTGGAAATTCGAAGTTTGGGAGGGTAGGAGAACGATAGAAGGATGGTTTTGGTTGGACGGTGGCGCAGTTTTTTAAATTGAGACAGGTCGGCTGGATAATCTCACTGCCTTAAGCTCAAAAGATTGCAGATTAAAGTCCCTTGAAAGTTTTATTCTTGGTAGCCCAGTTCTTCAGAATTAGTGCTTGGCTGCTTTTAAATATTTTTTATCCAATTTTATGTTGGAGATACGATTAACTCGTAAATTTTTCTCTGTCCATTGCATAAATTTGTAAGTTACTGTCATGATATTGTCAATGTCATCTTCATGATTATTTTTAAAATGAAAGCCGACCTATGGGCATTGTTGTGAGGTAATCCTCAACTTTACAAGTTTGTAGCAACTTGGTCTCTGGTAGTTGTAGATGGCGTTCATCCATTTGAATGTAAGACAACATTTTTTTTGCAGGAGGGACGATTTAATCTTTATTTTCAACTGAAAGAGAAATAGAAATAGAAAATCAAAAATAGAAAAGGAAGGGGGATTATAAAACAAAATCTCCCTAACCCCAATTCTGCATACCCCTTCCCACACCTATATCTCTTGCAGGGGCATGGTGGGATAGCCGGACGCAGCTGGTGGTTTGGATGCAGTTATTTCTTTTTCCTTTTTGAGTCCTATCATTTCCCTGTTTGTTTTGTGTTTCAACAAAATTATTTCTGGTTACCCATTTTACATAAAACAGCACTCTTCTTGCAAGTGACATTTTAATGCTGAAAATTTATGGCTTCCTACTTTCCATTCACTGGGGACCAAATGAAAGGATGACTATTATATATATTACAAGCAATAAGGGCAGGGAACCTGTTTTCACAGATTCAATGCGTTGCCGACCACCACTGTGATTTTCCCTTGGAATCAAAATTTTATGTTGTTAGTGTTTGGAAGGGTGTGCAGGTGTAAGTGTACACTTTCTACGTTATAGAGATCTCTGCGTTAACCTTTTACCTTTACCCCTAGTATTTTTTTGTTATCGATTTGAAGAAGTGCAAAAGTTGTAAACAATTTTACTGTAGATGCTTACTTTTACTGTATTCTTATTATGCTGTTTTGGAAAATGATTAATTTGTTTACAATGTTTAGAAATATTATAATGAATTTTACTGTATGCCTTCACTATTAATATATTTATATTCCAGTCTTTTGGTAAATAAACGACATGTTTACAATGCTTAGACAGCCAGGAATATGGAAAATCATTGGTGCATCATGCAGCTTATTATACCATCGTTGAAGTGGCCAAAGCCTTACAGCAACGTTGCATCTTAACTGGTGTGTTCCCTTTTTCCAGTAATTCAGAGACTGGAATCCATGGAAGCAAAGGTTATCTCCAGCGGAATCCGACACTCAAGCCTCCCTAGAAGTTAATCTTGCAACAACATACAAAAGCATCCGGGTGGGGTTTTATTGCTAACCATTTGTCGGCCATGTGTTGCCTTCAAGTTCTGATAGATGGCAAATGGTTAGCAATAAATCCCCACGCAGATGCTTTTGTCATCAATATTGGTGATCAGTTGCAGGTAAGGTTTATCTTTGGTGCTAGGAAAATAAATTACTGATATAGTAACTTGTGCATTGTTCTAATACTACAAACAATAAATTAAGCCTTAATTCTCAAAAATTTCGGGATCGGCTGTATGAATTATTTTCTGTCATTCGTTGGTTCATTGCTAAATTTTGTGGAAGATGCTATTCTGGGTCATTTCAATGAAATGTATATTAGGAATCATGTCATTAGATTTGACAATGTTTTACAGTGATTTCAGCATACTGGAACCGTCTCCCCCTTTATCCCCCTTTCTCCCGGGGGCTTGGGACCAGTGATGAAAAACCTTTGCATAGTTTCATTGTGGTAATGTAAGAAATAGAATAGCTGGAATACGAATGCATTTGGTCATGAAGAGAGTGCATGAAACCAGCAATTTGTGTCATAACTAAAGCACTTGATACATTCTGTTAACCTATTGAACGATTGTACGAATATCAGGCTATTGGAAAACCATAGAATATGGTCTTTAATGCTTATGATATGGATTTGGATCATAACCAAGAATGATTTTCTCCAGGCGCCGAGTAATGGAAAATAAAAGTGTGTGGCATCGAGCTATAGTAAATCCACATAAAGCAAGATTGTCAGTATCTTCCTTCCTCTGCCCGTGTGATAGTGTAATGATCGTTGCGCCAAAGGCTCTTATAAATGATGGATCTCCATCCATTTATCGGGATTTCACATACGCGGAGTATTACAAGAAGTTATGGAGTCGGAACCTTGACCAGGAACACTGTTTGGAACTTTTCAAGAACTAAATTTGCTATTTGGCCTCTAGATTGCGACTTTATTTTTGTGCTCGCCTCGCTACATCACACGGATTGTGACAAGAAGTGAATTTTATTAGCTAATGTCCTCCTTTTGTTTCTCTGATTGCTCTAATTATGTTTGTCACCGGATGATATTTTACTTCTGGTATAGGAATTTCGGAGTTTATTTTTCATCATAAAGCCAATGACGCGTGGTTTTTATTCTCTTTGTTGAACCTCATTATTTGGCCAAGAATGCATTTTAGAATGATATATTGATGTATAATGTGTGATTAGAAAATAAGAAAAAGTTTTGAGTTTACGTGTAATATTATTTTATTGAGTGTGCGTTTGAAAATAAGAGAGGGAAAATGTATTTTGAAAATAATGAGGATCAATCAAAGGCTATAATATCTCATCGTTCTTGATTATTTAACTACATGATATATAAATGTTACAAGTGGTGATGTAACATTAAATATTATAAGTTGTGGTGATACTGACGTTTGAAACTGTATGAAATATGTGGTAAAACGTCAATAACTATTATAAGTGATAGTAACAATGACGACGGCAAAAAGAGGGGTGGTGGAACGTGTGTGACACAATTTTACAAAAGTGTAACATGTGTAACCTATTTTTACGAAGTATAATACACTGTGTTATAAAATTTATTGTAAAATAAGCAAAACAAGAAAAATAATTACATAACTGCAAAGGTTTCAAGTTATATTTTCAAAATTAACAAACTTAGGAATCTTTTTTTTTATTTTTTTCAAAAATCGGGTGGTCAAAATTTGTGAACCGTGATAAAAGTTTGGTCATATTTTGTGACCTCTAATAAAAATTTGTGATTGATAATTTAATTTATCAAGTCACGGTTACAAATAAAACACAATTTATGGTCACAGATACAAATCAAACAAAGTCATAATCACCAAAATAATAATAATACATAAAAATAAAAAATAAAAATAAAATTAAGGATCACAACTGCAAATTAATAGGAATGACAATGAGGCGGAGCATTTTCCCGCCCCATTAATCATTTAAGGTGAGGCGGTTACTCTTTTTACTACCTGTTTACATTTTTTTTTTTTTTAAGTTTTTGATAATTCATTTTATTGTCCCATTCATTAAAGTGAAGTGAAACAATATTATAGTTATTAAATTCCAAACATATATGCCATAGTCCCTTACTTCGACATGGTACAAATATAACTTCCAAAATTCATGGATTTTGGAAAAGGGGGCTTTGAAAAGTAGTTTAACCCCATTTGCTAGAACAAAAGGATCAAATCCTTCCATGCCTCTCGCCGAATTTACTGGTTGTACTTTTCTCGTTGATCATATTAGAGTGCGACAAGAAGTATGAATTCCATTGGACCTAGAAATGATACATTGGAAGAATCCATTCATAATTCATGGATTCACTCTTTGCTATTGGGTAAAAGATGCCTCTTCTTTGCATTTATTACGATCCAAATTTCAATTCAATCAAATGATCAGCGACTGCGTCCGTTAAGGAATTACAACCTTCCAAATAGGAACTAGTCAATCCATGGGGGTGGACATATGAATCCAAATATGCCGAATCACTCATGGTATGATTTTCTACATCCTAGATGGAAGAATTGATTCCACATTGAAGTAAAAGAAGACCGAAATTTTGTGAACAATGCGGAATCGAAAATTAATTTATTTATTTTCAAAAGTTAAATTATTCGAATATATTTCGTAAACTAAGATCTTTATTGTTTATTGTATTCTTTGAATAATCTTAGTTGTTATCCTCTATTAGAATTAATCGTGGAATTTTCCATATAAAGTATTGAATTTTTACGTAAAAAAATTAAACAAGGCAGGGCCCCTGTCACCCTTACCCATCCCGAAGCAAAATCACCACCTTATTCCCAACCCGATTAAGGCGGTAATCCCCGGCCCGTTTGGGGTAGGACCCCGCGAGTATTGGGTATGACAAATATTTTTGCTATCCTTACGAATTTTTTGCAGTTTACATATATTTTAGGTCACATATTATTTATTGTTTATAAATTACCTGTTTTATTAATTACATTTATCCAAATAATTAGTAAAAAACTCTCTTTGTGTCATCCTACTATTTCACAACCATCGACATCACTCAAATGTCGTTGCCACCTCACCACCATCGTCACTGTTCTACCACCACTACCACCTACACCAACCATCGCCCAAACACCGCTACCATGGCCAACACTATCACTCCACTCCATCATCATTCTACCATTATTGGCACCACCCAAATGCCACTAACAATTCGCCACCATCGTCGACATCGTTATCATCCAGATCCATCTTCACCATCGCTTGCATAGATCTATAACAAATCCTCAATCCATTGCCACACATTGACCACACTTCCATCACTAGTACCACGACCTAAGAGAAGTAAAGATAGCGTACAAAAAGCACCATAATTGCACCGCTACAACATAACCAAAACACCATGCACCTACCATCGTGAAGAGTCGTTACCTACCTTCGGAATGAAGCAGTAGGAGAAGTGGAATGAAATAACATTTCGAGGTGATTGAAGCACTGGCCAAAGAATTGAACTTTTGGGTTTGGGAAAATGAATTAAGGTTAGGTTGGTGGGTTTTGGTGTGGAATCGAGTTTGTGTAATGGAGTTGGTGGGTGTGAAACCATCTGTGGATCGAAGGGGTATGGCAATGTGATAGTGAAGGATGGGAGCTGTGTAGTTTCTTGGCAATTTGGAGCTGTTGACGACGCAATGGTTAACCGATAGCAAATGGGCAAAATTGGATGAGATGCGATTGGTGTTGAAGGATGTGGTGGAGGTGGTTGCAGCAATGGTTCACGATTTGGGATTGTATGGGCTGTGTGTGGTGTAGTTGGCAAGAGTGTTGTTGACTAAGGGTGGGCATGGGTTGGGTTAGGTTGGGTCAATTTTTTTCCAACCTAAACCTAACCCAACACGGCAGGTTTGATCGAAAATCAACATAACATAATCCAATTATTGATATATATCCAACCCAACCCATACCGATCAATTTTGGATTGGTTTGATTTGGGTCGATTGTTTTGGTCTTCGGCCCAATTAAGTTGGATTTGGTTTATTTGTTAAATTTGGATAATTTTTTAGAGTTTGAAATTACTTGAAAACCTCATTTTTTAAACACATATAGAAGGATTTCTATCTAAAAATAATGTATAGATAAGTTTAAAATTCATGAAGCATTTTATTTTTTTTACAATTTTTTGGAATTCATTCATTTCATTATCATGTCTTTAATTTTTACTTTATCATCAAATAACATTACATTTGTACATAGTGTTGATGTGAATCGCTCTATGTGAGGAAAATGAATGTTTTTAAATTATAAGTCATTCATTCTCTTATCTTTACTATTGTATCTATTTAAATTTTTTTCATCTTAGATATCAATTTTTATTCATTGACTTGGGTTGGGTTTTAATTCATATCCCGAGACCCAATCCAATCCAACTCAACCCAACCTTAAATTCAATTTTTAACCCAATCGAACCTAGTTGAACTTAAAAAATCGACCCCTAGCCCTAGTGTTGACGACATGGTGTGGATTAGGATTTTTGGAAGAGATGAAGGGTATGAGTTTGGGTTTGAAGTAATTGTGAATTGTTTGGTTTATTGTTTGGCTGTATATGGGTGTGTAGGCGCGAGTAACGGGGTTCGATACACTTGATTTTTTTTTAAAGAATAATTTAAGGAAAAATTTCATATCTAAAAGTTTAAATATGATCAATTTTAAAACGAAGAGAATTTCAAAAATCAGATATTAATTAAATTTTATATATGAAATATTTAATTAAAAATATATTAAGGTCACAATTCCATATTATTTGGTTACAAATTATTTCTCGATTACAAATAAATTTTTTTATAGGTCACAACTTATTTAATAATCATAAACTATTAAATTAATTGATCACAACCTAATAAATTGTGAATCACAATCACATTTTTTAAGCCATATACTATTTATTAGTCACAAATTAAAAATTTATAGATCAGAATCAACCAAATATTAATTCACAAACCCACCCCACCCCACCACACCACACACCATCACCACCAACTCCCAACACCACCACCACACTGTATACCACCATGCACCACAGAACAACCATCTTACCGTTAACCACCTCACCAACACAACCATCAACTGCAAACACCACCAGTACACTGCACAACACACCACTACCGCACCACAATACCACCATCGAATCGTTAATAACCGTACCACTCAAAAATTTGAAAAAGAAGAATGGATTTGCTGCACTATCGTGCACGAAGGAAAGATGTTGCGTATGAAGCAGCAATACCTAGTGTAACACTTCGAATTTTTCTTACTATTTTCATACGGAGCCGAAACTTAATATTGGTCATTTAGCAAATGGAATGGTCCATGTCTAGTCTTGTCATCACATTAAATTCAAATGTTAAAAGATAAGTTTAACCCACTTATTCGCATAAAAGATTTACCTTGTTTACGAGTACTGTTAAAAATTTATCGTAGTTATTTTGGGTCGAATATTTAAGTATTTTTAGAAGTTGATGAAATATATAAAATATTATACCCATTTTGTAGCTCGTATTAAATAATATAATTTAGGCTCAAGAAAAAGTAATTTTGAATTAGTCTTGTCCGAGTTATTCTAATAAAAAAAAGTGTTAACATTTAATATTTTATTAATATATGTAATAATAACAAAAAGAAAGAAAAAAGATATGGAACTAGGAATTCGAAAAGATATTAAACATAATTACCAAAATAATTAAGTTAATTAAATCTTAATTAACCTGAAATTCATTGATTTTGAATTATGTCACCAGCCTTTTGAATTTCCTTGAAGGTTAAGTGTGAGTGATTTATATAGGGTGTGAGATGACAGTATTTTGTTTTAGAAATTTTATAAGTTCATTTTTTATTTTAACACACACACTCTATTCACTTTCATATTATCATTTCAAATCATTTCCTTTTTCAGAACTTTGGGTGTCAATTGAAGTAAGAACACATCGTGTAAAGTTGTAAATTCTTATTTCTTAATATTAATATAAATTTCGACATTAAATACTATAAGGCCTTTGGGTCGAATTTTATGTTAAATTTTTCGGGATAGACCGTTAGGTTAAGTATGTTAAATCCTATAGGATGAACATTTGAGTCGGTTATGTTAAATCCTACGGAATATGGAAATTCTTAAGAAATTTTCGAAGCTCTAAATTTAAGAAATTTCTATATGTTATGTCAGTTTTATATTTATATTATGTTAAC